TCTCTGTGTGTCTGTGTGTGTGTGTGTGTGTGTGTGTGTCTGTGTGTGTGTGTGTGTGTGTGTGTGTCTCTGTGTGTGTGTGTGTCTCTGTGTGTGTGTGTGTGTGTGTGTGTGTCTCTCTGTGTGTGTGTGTCTCTCTGTGTGTGTCCGCCTAAGGCGCCGGCAGAGTGGGCCGCATGGGTCCATGGCACAGATGTAAAAGGTGCCCAAGGCATCCTAGCGGTGCAATAAAGCCTTTAGGCAACTTGGCCTTCTTGGCTTCGTGTGTGTGTGTGTGTGTCCAACCCTGTAGCCAAGGGTTTCAACCGTCGACCTCATTTTTTTGTGCAGGGGGGCAGAGGGGGTGTAGGGGGGGCTCTGCCCAACGAAGCTCCTCCCCACACCCCAGGAAAACGTACCTGCTTGTCTGCGCCTGGGCCCCGTTGTGGGCAGCTGGCGGGACATTCATTTCATTTCCCTGTCAACACCAGCTTGAAACATCAGAGGTATTCAGGAGCATGATGTACTTCAGTGACAGCAGGCTTAGCCTGTCTAAGCTGATGTGGCTCGCAGATCGGAGGTACCAGTATTGGCTGTCAGGAAGGTTGCTTGAGTGTGTTCCAGGCAGTGTAGGGCTAGTCCCTACGTCTTTCAGAGTGCTGCCTGCGGCGGGGTGGCCCGTGCAGTATCCTGCAGATTTCGTCATGACGAAGCAGGGACCCATCCTGCTGACTTGGATGATGTGCAGGGCCGTTGATGCTGTTTGCTGTTTGTTGTACGGTGGTATTCTGGCGCAAATCAGAGGTCTTTATGACTTACCCTCCTGCAGCCATCAGGTGTTGACTTTTTTTTTCGAGTAGTGTAGATCCCGTCCTTTGTTCTCCAAGCATGTCTTGGTCTGGACAAAACTGGAACTCCCAACAGCAGCAGCCGCGTGAGTGGCAGAAAAAAGAAGTTCTTGCTACGACAGCTGGCAACAGGACGATCAGAACTCAGTGAGCGGGATTCGTTTTTTCCGAAAGGTGCAGACGTCGAGCGTGTGTGTTTAAAACGCCGTCGTCGGAAGCGGTAGTTTTGGCTTGTCCTGTTGTGCATTTCCCGCAGGTCCGCCTAAGGCGCCGGCAGAGTGGGCCGCATGGGTCCATGGCACAGATGTAAAAGGTGCCCAAGGCATCCTAGCGGTGCAATAAAGCCTTTAGGCAACTTGGCCTTCTTGGCTTCGTGTGTGTGTGTGTGTGTGTGTGTCCAACCCTGTAGCCAAGGGTTTCAACCGTCGACCTCATTTTTTTGTGCAGGGGGGCAGAGGGGGTGTAGGGGGGGCTCTGCCCAACGAAGCTCCTCCCCACACCCCAGGAAAACGTACCTGCTTGTCTGCGCCTGGGCCCCGCTGTGGGCAGCTGGCGGGACATTCATTTCATTTCCCTGTCAACACCAGTTTGAAACATCAGAGGTATTCAGGAGCATGATGTACTTCAGTGACAGCAGGCTTAGCCTGTCTAAGCTGATGTGGCTCGCAGATCGGAGGTACCAGTATTGGCTGTCAGGAAGGTTGCTTGAGTGTGTGTGTGTGTGTGTGTGTGTCTGTGTGTGTGTGTGTGTGTGTGTGTGTGTGTGTCTCTGTGTGTGTGTGTGTGTGTGTGTGTCTCTGTGTGTGTGTGTGTGCGTCTCTGTGTGTGTGTGTTTGTCTGTGTACGTGTGCGTGTGTGTCAGTGTGTCTGTCTGTCTGTGCGTCTGCGTGTCTGTGCATCTGCGCGTCTGTGCGCGTATGAGTCTGTGCGTCTGTGCATCTGTGCGTCTGCAGCATACAGCCAAGTCGTGTGACAACCTACATCGTCTGAGTGGCCGTGTGTGGAATTGTGCAAACATTCACTAAGCTTCGTCTCTTCTCAGTCAAAGCTTGTTTGGGATCCTTACCTGGCACTAGTTAAGCTGCTGAAGGGCTGAGCCTTGGCTGGCATAGCTGGGATTAAAATTCTCCACTTCTGTCGTGCATGCTGCGGGGTGGCCTGCTCGGACCGGTGCGACCAGCCAGCCAGCGTAGTAAGTTGCCACAAGCGGAAACAGCATGAACAAGGTGAAATTGCCTACTAGCTGGGCCACGATGTCTGAAAGCATGAAGAATGAATAGTGCGGCGCGTCAGTGGACCAGAACATGGAGAGGAGTAGGCAGAACGATGCGTTCATGAGGAGCAGGAGCACAATAGTGATTTGCTGAGCCCGTAGGGAGAGACAATCAGGATAATAAAAGTTCCAGACGAAGTAAAGGAGACCGGTGAGCATGCCAACAACACCCTGGTTGATGCTGAACTGGCCAAACGTCTTGCCACCCTTGGTAAGCTCCGGTTCATTGGCCATTGCATTGAAGAGAGCATTGATGAGAAGCCATCCACAGCCTGCTCCCACAAGAAGGAAGGCAAGGTAGATGTGGAAGGAGCCTTTGGGATGGCGGACGCGGGCTTTGAGGCGGCTTTTTTTCGGACAGAGTATCTCACAGAAGTGAGACATAAGGCCGAACAGCCTA